TACAGATCTTCTGAAGCTTGCTTTCTGTTCTTGGTGCTCACAAACTGATGTACAGACAGTGTTCCAGTCCTGTACTGCCTATTGCAGTTCCATTTCAGTAATATTTTGAGTTATTGTCATTTGCCATGAAGTCAGATGCTGACCTCTGTGGAAGATAGTGGCAGTGATGACAGGAGGCCTATGCACACTGCAAGGCCACAATAGTTTGAATTACATGCCTTTATTTGCCCAAGTGTTTGCATTTCTCATACCCTCCACAATTCACCTATTAACTCTGGACTAAAAATACTTAGGAAAGCTGTGAGTGGGGAATACAGACTGTTAGAAGGAGCAGTAGAAATAAGAGCTAGGAAAAGGGTAAATCTATGGCTTCACAGTGGTACTGCTCAGGAGCAACAAGAAAGCAGAGAAGATGCTGAAGTAGGCATATGAAGTAGAAGAAATTATATTCATTAAGGCAATGAGGGTAAAGGGGGTTGTTCTGCTGGATAGGAAAAAAAAAGGCTGTGAAATAAAGCATGTGGAAAGTCATTAGTTTCTCAGCAATTACAAAAAGAAGACAGAAGAAATTAGGAAAGGGGGGGGGGGACACTAAACTCTCAAGATAAAGGAAAAGAGCTTTACCACCAGAAAGAAATAAATATAGCTAATATATTGAACATCCTGTTCCAAACATTTTTCAGCCTCTCTTCTCCCTGTGTAATAATTTTATATAAAAATAGAATGCATCATCCTCTTAAACATAGAAATATCTTCTCATTTGTAAGAAAAGCAAATAATCCACCTACCATCAGAAGAAAAAAAACCTGACATTACCTAATGGTGAGGTGGCTAAACTGTGGCAGGGTTGGTCAGCCTCAGTTTATTTAGTGTTTGACAAAGCAAATATCAAAACCACATTTTTGTTTAAAATCTGACTTGTGACACCTGCTTACCTATTTATAGCTGATGAAGTTCTCACAGAAAGCCACAGTCAGTGCTATCTTATCTTTCAGTAGGCAAAGTGCTGTTTACCTTGTATAGGCTCAGCATTCCTTGTTGTTTCCACAGGCAGTTTAATTAGGATGCATGTTCACCCAACAGAAGCAGTGAATGGAGTGGTAAATAATAGCTGGTAGAGCAGTCTGAAGCATTTCATTATCAGTGACTTATTATAATCATTGTAATTAAAAAAAATAAAAGGTCAAACAGGACAGTAACATACAACAGGGGTTTGCTGCTCACCAGATAATTTGCTTTGAGATTGATGTTGCCACACCATTCACAGTCACATCAATTCAATCCTCTTAGAAAAAGCTCCTTGTGTATCAACCTTAAAATGATCCAATTATCATTATGTTAACTCACGTCATTTGAGATGCTTTAAATGGAATTATCAATGTGCACAATTTCAATACTTGCATTTAACTGGCCAGTGGTTTAACCTGCTCGGGTAAATTCTGGCAGCATAAAGCTGTACCAGCCATCTATTTTTGTAACATTTTTAAACAGTAGAAGTATCTCCTTTGCATAAAATGTATATAACCATGATCCTGGGACAAGCATGTGAACTGTGGCAAGTGAGAATAACAGCAAAAATGACAGTGGTACAGAAAAGAAACCATTGCCTGTAAGATTTCTTACAGCTGCCCTGTCTCACCACTCAGCACTGCTATGGGTCTATGCCTTCCAAAACAAATGACTTTCTTCTCCTGTGTTGAAGCTTTTCCTAGTGCTCTAAAGTTACAGATGTCCTCAGGGCAGCAGATCTACCTGAGGCTAGCTCTGAGACTTTAAAATTTCCAGGAAATTTAAAAATTCAGCTTGGGATTAGCAGTGCCTTCCTCACTGTGCTTCAAATGTAAGGCTCTTACGAGGTTCATTCTCACAGCAACATTCAAACTGTTTTCAGTTATACATATAGCAATCCATATATATTTACACAAAAGCAACCCCTTTATGTATTTCTGCTTCCTTTTCATTTACTGAAAATAGTGATGGATTTCTTTATTTATTGATTGTAATTCCTTAGTATAATTTAAAACTGATAACATACCAAACATCCTTTGCACAATTCCACTGACTTCAGTGTTACACCAAAACCTTTAATTCCAGAAGGGTTACAGTCTTACACAGGTAAATTGAAGTATCGTACTATTTCTTGACCAAATTCCCGATTCTTTGTGGGAATTGTTCTGCCTTTTTTACTTCCCAAGCACTCCAAAATAAGCTCAGGGAATTCAATACCTTAGAGGGCCAGACACAAGTTTCCCAACTAAATTATTTTTTGTTTATTTTAACACATTTCTTAAAACATAATATAATCATTATTACACTTTCTTGAAAGTACATATGCTATTAATTACATCAACTAAAGCTACTACTGGCATGAAAAAGTACAGGCCACCATGTGGCAGAAAAGGGAAATTGGAAGTTAAACGACGAAACACACTACACTGAAGGGGTGGATGAAGCTGCACAGAAACAATCCCATCGAAGGGGGAGTTTTCACCATCAGCTACATTTGTCTTAGCCACTGAATCTGCCAGTTAGTACACACAGAGCAGGATGCACTTGCCAATTGGTTCATCTAGTCATGGAGAAAGGTCTTGCTCAGCTTTAACTGGGCTCTGATCTACTTTACTGCAAGTCTAACTTGCAGTGGTGATTTTCTTAGCAGAGCCTTCACTACAGTTTCTTACTGCTAAGTTCTGGACTGTAATCTCAGCGGGTATATGAGTGAGCAAAGGCTATGACAATGAATAGACCATGCAGCACCAGCATGTAGCTGGGACAGGGCAATATTGCCAGACCTTGATGTTTCAGAACCTATCAGTTATTGTCAAATCTCCTTGGGCGCTTTCACAACCAAGGGGTGAGATAAGAGGATTTCTCTTGAAATCTTTTTATTGTGTTCTGCCTGTCCTATGGATAGCATGACCTTCCACAGAGCCAGACAACACCATGTATTCTAGATCTGGCACAGTTTGAAAGCCAGGAAGTTTTGCTCAGGATGTATTACAGTGCCACATGCAATCAGAATGGCATACATTTGTTTGTGTCAGCTGTATTTGCTTAACTTTTTAACTTCTTAAACATGGCAAAAATAGCTGATGTCATTTTGAGGCATCTATACCAACTGAGGCAACAAGGCTAATTCACAGAATGAATTGGAGAGACTGGGAGGTGTCTCATTGTGCATCTTGACAAAGGGTTTTTTAGTTGCATTTAACTAGGTATTCCAAACTTGACAGAATTATCAAGAACCTAAATCTTGAAATTACTCTGCTAGCTTTATGGAAATGAATCAGCTTATTAATGCAAACATATAATAGAACATAAGCTAAGACAGAGAAATATCAAGTCTTTTAAAAGCTCATAAATTGAGTGCCAAAGGGTGACCTTGCTCACAAGATGCTAACTGCAATCCATATTCTGGATTCAGTTCCTGACTCTGCTTCAGACTTCCTGTGTGGGCTTTGCTGAGACATATCTATGCCTCACTTCCCTATTAAAAAGACAATCCATTTGGAAAAAGGTTTGTTTCCCAACAAGAGCATGTCAAACACTTAACAGAGTAGCATTCTGCCCTTAACAGGAACGTCAGTGCTGAACAACGCAAGTAATGAGCAACCACGTCCGTAACAACAAGGCCCGTATTTCTATAATGATAGGTATCTTTTCTTTCAGAATGTATCTGTTCTGCCCAGGGTCTTAAGGTGTGTATATTTATCTATATAAAAATGACTAACATTTATAAGGGTTTTGTTTGTTTGTTTGTTTTAAAGCCAATATATTTCACGTAATCTGTGTTTGAGGCAGCACAAGTTAGGTTTTGCTGACAGTTGTTGGGATCCTGCAGACAGCAATAAACACTACTCTGCAATAATAACTATTGATTTTTTATTTTATTTTTTAAAAAATCTCCACTATTTTTGAGGAAAGACAATTTGTAGACTCTGGAAAAGATTTAGTATCAGAGTCACTTACAGCATATTATCTGCTTCCTAAAGTCATAAGTCATTAATAAGGAAATCATTCTTGCAGAACACACAAGCCCAGGCAAAGCAAACAGGTGCCCTGTAAAGGAGATTTCATACCATTTCCATACACTTAATAAGGTCCAGAAATATTTTTCATACACTGAGACTACACCTTCAACTCTTGGATACATACATTTTTTCAGTAACTGAAAAGGTAATGTGAATGTTCCCCCTTGTACCCTTCTTAAACTCTTTCTACAGTTACTAATGTGCAACAAATCAGCATGTCTGGATTTTCACAGGTTTTTTTTTTCCTCACTAGTAGTTAAACACCATAGTTCTAAGCCAGATGGGGAGCCTGGTAAGTTCTGAATATTTAAGGTATTTATGGTACAACAGAACACTAGGTTGTGTGAGTATCTTCATCTTTCTCTGTGATGTAAAAATTGTCTCAAAGAATTAAGCTTAATGAATAGAAAAAAAAAATTCTAGTGATTTACATCAGAGATCAAAATGAGTACCTAATCTGAATTTACTTATTTTCTTAATGCATTACACTTTGTATTTACAGAATGAACTGGTATTCAGAGTGCTTAAATGTAGTTTCTGAGATATCTGAATATCTTTGCTTATTAGATGTATTACCTGTTTATGGGAAAAAAAACCCTAAAGACTCTCCTGAATTTAGAGTTATCTGCTCTTTTGAGTCTCTTATTATTTTTATGACATATGTTCACTAACCAGTCTTATTTTACATTGGAACCTTGTTAATTGAAAGAAGTTTGTTAGGTTTCATTTATGTTAAAAAGAATCTAACGATGTACAGCCAACTTCTAACATTCTTACCTGTGTTTTATTCTGCAAACAAAGTCTATATTAGAATAAAAATTGGTTGATAAAACACTTGAAGATGGCTTATTTTTAAATTCAAAGACATTGACACATTGTGTTAGACACAAAAGCTTGACATTTAATTGAAACTTTTTAAAAATTAAATCCCTGTAATGAATAATATTTCCTCCTCTTTTCCCCTCCTAGGTGTGAACTTCATATTTTCTCCCTGAAACTAGGTTACAGCTGAAGAGATCAAGATGGTCCCAAATTACTCTACCGAAGAAACCGTTAAAAGAATCCACGTCGACTGTCCCGTTTCAGGAAGGCACAGTTACATCTACATTATGGTTCCAACCGTTTACAGCATCATCTTTATCATAGGCATATTTGGGAACAGCCTGGTCGTTATTGTCATTTACTGCTACATGAAATTAAAAACAGTAGCCAGCATCTTTCTTCTAAACCTGGCGCTGGCTGACTTGTGTTTTTTAATAACTCTGCCACTCTGGGCAGCCTACACGGCCATGGAGTACCAGTGGCCTTTCGGCAACTGTTTATGTAAGTTAGCATCAGCGGGGATAAGTTTCAACCTGTATGCCAGTGTGTTCCTCCTCACATGCCTTAGCATTGACCGGTACCTGGCCATAGTACATCCAGTGAAGTCCCGAATTCGACGTACCGTGTTTGTTGCCAGAATAACTTGCATTGCCATCTGGCTTCTCGCTGGTGTGGCCAGTTTGCCCGTCATCATTCACCGTAATATATTCTTTGCTGAGAACTTGAACATGACCGTCTGCGGTTTTCGGTATGACAACAATAACACAACGCTCCGGGTCGGGTTGGGTTTATCCAAAAATTTGCTGGGCTTTTTAATTCCTTTTCTGATCATATTAACAAGCTACACCTTAATTTGGAAGACCCTGAAGGAGGCGTATCAAATTCAAAAAAATAAGACTAGAAATGATGATATTTTTAAGATGATTGTGGCAATAGTATTTTTCTTCTTCTTTTCCTGGATTCCTCATCAAGTGTTCACTTTTCTGGATGTATTAATTCAGTTACATGTAATAACAGACTGCAAAATCACTGATATTGTGGATACGGCTATGCCCTTCACCATTTGCATCGCTTACTTTAACAACTGTTTGAATCCTTTTTTTTATGTTTTTTTTGGAAAAAACTTTAAAAAATACTTCCTTCAGCTAATAAAATACATTCCACCAAATGTTAGCGCACATCCAAGCCTAACAACAAAAATGAGCTCCCTCTCATATCGGCCACCAGAAAATATACGCCTGCCCACTAAAAAGACTGCTGGGTATTTCGACACTGAGTGATGCGTTTTGCAATATACTTTTTTTGAACAACCTTGTGAACGAAGCAGCAAGAATGACAAAATTCATCTGCAGTCCTGAACATCACAGCTTACTGCTCATTACAGAAACATTAGATCACCTCAGAGAAATCATACTGTAAAGATATAGCAGTGGCCTTTTATTTTATATTGTGAAGAGGACTGCTTGGTTTTCATTTTGTTTCTTTGCTGAAAGCAACATAAATGGTGGACAGGCATGTCAGAGTTTCTGTCAGCATCCTGCCGTTTACTCAGAACTACAAAAGAAGGATAGAGAAAACACCCAACTTAAGTTCAGAGATCTTTCTAAAGGAAAAGCTTGTATAAATTACATGAATTATGAAGGACCTGTTTTACACATACATAAGCTATTCCAAATTTTGTTCAAGGAGCTGATGGAGCTACACTGCTTGTTTTGTTGTTGTTTTTTTTTTTTAATGACATAAATGTCATATCATTACATTTGTAATACATTTTCAAATATATGCTATATATAGAGGCCCAATTTTAAACTTGAATGGAAATTTAAGGTCCTTGAAATTGGTCTCATTCTGATTTGTGCTACTATTTTTCATTTTTAAAAATGGCAAATTTTTCATAATATATGCAATAAAATGCAGATTTATTTATTAAATAGAGAAGAAATATATTTTTAGATTTATATTCCTACTCAGATTTCAAACATTGCTTCATAAATGTACATTTATATCCCAGTGGGTATTTTTATAGTAGTTTAAAAAATGTAAGTATATATAAACACACAAAAATGGGGTTCACTTAACCTTTCCTCATGATATGCCACACTGACTTTGAAGAACACTACTTACGGAGTGGGTTGGCTCCATACTTTATGTGACTAAAAGTAAAATTCTGTATTTGAAAACAGTTCTGGGACAGGTGATCAGAAAACTTCAGACTATTTTCGTATACTAACCAGTGCACTCGATGAGAGAAATTACCAACTAATCAAATCCACTCAGTTTTTCAAATTCCTGGACATTTAATAAACTCACATTCTGATAAGCAAAAATGTGACAACGCTTGTGTTACAGTTTAACTAATAATGCTTTCAGTCACATCACAAAACATCTGAGACCGAGTTTATTTTGGGCTTTTACGGAATTACTCTCCATTTAGACAAAACTAAGCCTAGAGTATTTGCTCCCTGTACAAACTTTTTTTATGTGCATGGAACAAATTCAAATTTATACTAGCATAAATCAGAACAAAAGTCTGGCTTAAACTCTCCATACAAATGACGGGGGAAAGGTGATAAGCACTGTAGGAAGTTTCAACTAATGATATCCTCGTATGTCCTTTTTACCTCAAATAATGAGCTCCAGAAAATATTTATTCTTGATTCACACTCATTTATTGTCTTCAAAGGTAAAGGAATTCATAAATACTTTTTAACATAGTAAAACTTAAGAAAAATTCCAAAACTTTACATTTATCATGCAATTACATGACCCTTTAGAATTTACAGTATTTATAATCTTAAAAAACTATACATCTAATGCGGCTTTGTCTCAGGTAGCAAGTGGTTGGATTATCCATATTTTCTGATTATCAGTCTTTTGCATATACACAAATAATATTTTAAATTTTTTTTTACTTTAGGAAATTATTTTAAATCAAAACGCAACAAAAAAGTTATATCTGTAGTTTAATACTTCTTCAGAAAAAATGGGACTACAACCAGGTCTGGGAATCTTGTGCCTCTTCCTGCTCTTTCGTTCACTTGTTTTAAGGCAAGTTTCTTCAGTTTTGCCTTTGTTCTTCCAGCTGCAAAATGGGAACAAACTCTACTTATATGTGTCACAAGGCACTGTGCGGATTCACTAAAACTTCTAAAGCTGTATGTTAAAAAAAATGGTCTTTCATTGAAGGTTTAAGTTAATTTAATTGCAAGCTAGTATCTCAAAATTTGAAACTGGAATGTGTCATTTAAAGACACAGTTAAATTATTCCTATTACATATAATGTTTTATATTTAGCTTATATCTATCCTTACATGTGAGACAGCCATTTGTTGAATATGGCAATAGTCCCATGCATTATAAAAAGCATCCAGAACAGTACCACTGCCTCAGCACTCAGTAAGCTGACGAAGGACTGACAGAGCCTGCCGTTTATCTGTATGATACTTTGTTCATGTAGACATGTGCACATGCTGAGCAGCATCGGGAGCTTCCCCTGGCAGAAGCAGATGTGTCTCAGACATAATTCAGTGTGCTGTGCTTGCCACCTGCTGGATGCAGCTACAAATTTGTTTTTCATCTCAAAAGTTGTTATAGGAAGAGACAGCAATATTTCCCTGCTTCCTGATGGATCTGGAGATCCTTACCTGTGGCAAAACTCCTGTAGAAATGAAATGCAAACTTGTCCATCTGGGAGACAGTTAACTTCCTTGACAGAGGCTAAACAAGCATCTCCTCATTACCTGCTGATCCCTTTGGTCACTGAAATCCAGTGTCCCCAATGACCACAATAGCTCATTTGCAAAACGTTGATTGCATTACTAAAAGAGCCATCCCAAAGAGAAGAAATATATATATGTATAAAAATAAAAATCTAAGCGTATTTGTGCATGATAACTAGGTATTTAGCTGAAAAGACTCATTTGTCACCAAGAAGAAAAACCAGCAGAATCAATAGTGACTATGAACGATAAAAATGACTGTATTACAGCGGAAAACAGAAAAGAAGCCATTGGTTAGTGGTTTTGATCATTTCATGCCAGATCCTGCATTTTTAAGAGACTCTCTAACCTAGGCTGCTGGTGCCACCTGTGCCTGCCTGCCTCATGGGAAAAAGCACAAGTGTGCACATTCGGCTGGGCTGCTGCAGGAAAGGCTGGGGGGGATTGCAGCTGGTGTGCTTTGAAGGCAAGACTGACCTTGAATTGATAGGCAAAGAAAGTGGAGGGCAAGGCTGCTGTTAAATAATGCTGGGAAATTTTTGTTCAAATCAATAGATACTGAAAAATATCCAGAGAGAAAACTCTCCAGCAACTCTTAACTGGGCAGCAGCAGAGAGCACAGTTACTGTGTACAGCCACATCCTGCAGTTTCAGACATCCCCACAAAGCCCCAAACTGACAGCTAACTGAAGACTCCCAGATTCCTTCAGCACACCCACACCACTTCCGTCACGCATCTAGCTGCAACCAATGCAGGTGCTGAGAAAAACGTTGCTGCTGAGTCTCATGCTCCCCTGCGCGCCCACTTGCTGAAAACACTGTGCTAGAGACTTGTGCATGGGGCAGGTAGAGCAGCAGCGTGAGAGTGTGCAGGATCTGGCCGCTGTTGTGGACCCTTGGCTGTATGGTCCCTACTCAGGGGCAGGTAGGAGATGGCCAGAGTATCCTTTGGTGCAAGAACCTACTCCGTGCCAACAGAGGAGGCGGGAGTAAGATTTGGCTCTGTATGACTTCGCCGTCTTTGAGGAACTTTGGGTTGAGCCATCTTAATTGAATATCAAAATAAGAACTAGCTATGTATGTTTAAGAACAAACTCCCACTATCTTAAAGAACACAAAGTTAATTAAGATGCAGTAATATGCTGTTATTTTAAAAAGAAGTATCCAAAGTGCTTTTCATTCTTGGGATGACCAAAGTAAAATACTTGACAAACTCTTAGTCTGTCCCTGTACTCTCCTGGTGTGAGGAACTCAAGCCACTATCAATGGGGACAGTATATAGCCAGCCCTAAATACAGGGATCACTACTCCTAATCTATCACAATTATATTGTTGTCTTGTTTGAATGAATACTTTCTTTCTGCTGGCAGAATAATTACTAAATCACATTATGTTTGACATGGACATGCATAACATTTATTTCTATTTATTGTGCAATAGTACTTTATATGACTCATGTTTCATACTCTGCTCTCTACTTGCTTGCCCATTATATGCCTGTCCTAAACCATACTATATAATCTGCACTGGTTAGCCTAAATTCCAACAAAACAATTACAGATACAGTAGGGATTAATTTGGCTTCTCAGTTTAACAATTTCCTCATGTTTACATTGTTAATCAAAATGTTGCAAAGTAAGTACGAGGCCAAAAGTCCTTTTCTTTACCAGAACTACTATTTAGGTGATGGTTTACATCATCTACTTGAAACTGTGACAGCAGCAGAAAATATAGTAGGATTCCCAGGTTTGGTTTAGTTTTGCTTGCATAGCTTAAGCAACGATTTATTACTTACTGACCTCCTTTTTAAATATACTGAAGTACAAGTATTCCCAGGGAGAAGTTCGCAATGGAAAGGAGAAACAAATACTTGGGAGGGGGTAGAAGGCGGCCTACAGCAGGGACTTGCTGATTTTGGAAATATTTAGTGTTAAATGTAAATACTTAATTTTATTTTTGCAACAGACGAAAAAAGAAAAAAAATCTAAGAATAAATCTTTCAGCTAAGTAGTAAAAACTTCCAGAAAGTTTTGAGGGGCTCTTCTAAGCCCTTAATAACGGGTTTCTTAATAACATCCTGCTCAGTTTGGAACATACCAAACCATTCTTACCCTGCTCACAAGGTCAGGGTCTCCAGCTCTGCTCTTCTACATGACATTACAGGCTTGGCCAGACCATCATTCCACAAGCTTGTGCAAAGTCATGAGGTTCTATCAATCTTGAGCCTGTTTCAACAGCGACCTCACTACCAAGGCTGAACTAACAAATCCTCAATGTCAAGCTCATTGTCACTGGTGAGTTCTGCAGACATGGCTAGACACTCAAGAAACAGGTACAGATCACATTTGAGAACAGCATTGTGTGATCTTTTTAGTGGACTAGTGCCATGGCTCGCAGCTTTAAAAGTACTTGGTAAATTAAGTAACAAGAACTAGGTATTATTTTCTTTTAAATATTTTTGTGCAGTTGTAAGTTGTGAAGTGGTGGATGTTAATGTTTTGTATTTCAATAGAAATAGTTTTATATTGTAGAAGTTTACTACTATTATATAAGAACATTTATTGTCTGAAGTATTACTAAAAACATACATGCCATCAGTAGATGTCTCTGTGAAAGCCATCTCCACTGCTGTATTAATCCACCCAAAGCAGAGATATGTTTCTATATTATTGTAAGTACTACACTATTATCAGTATATCTATAGCTATATATCTTAGACAGTATCATCCTTACCAAAGTATTCCTATTTAATGCTGTAATGTTTTATACCACCATTCCTCATTCCTTTTAATCCAAAGTCTAACCCAGCTCCCCCTAAACTCTTGAGATGAACAGCTTGTGTCTG